CCAAGATGGCGGCCAAAAATTTAAACCCAGTCAAAATGAAGTACTTACTACTCTACAATGATCTGACGTGGTCCAGAGTTGATATCTTTAGAAATGTAGAAAAAAGTTGGGGGGGGGGAACTCATTTAAAACTCACCCTATAGACACACTCAACTAAAGCTTTGTGCGGCCATCTACAGTCCATGAGTGCCAATGACCTACTTTGTGCTCTTTATACACAAATAGCTATTTTTTCAAAAATTAGTATTTTTTTGTAATTTTTTTATTTTTACAATTTTTAGTTCAAAACTCCTCTCAGTCAGATTAAACCCAAGTCTGACTCAAGTCTGAGTGCTAGCCGTGTTTCTCGCACCCTTCGCTATCTGCCATCTCCTCCACAACCAAAAACAATTCCATCTTTGCATGCACCTCTTTCCACTCCTTGGTTACCATTTGTACCAAACTATGAGGTATGTATTACCTTTGTCATGTATACTTTATGATAAGAGTTGTAATTTGAATAATAAAGGGTGATTTTTTTAGTGGTGTGATTTTCAAAACAAAATAAAACAACGAGAAATAAATTGTATTGATATTAAATTGAATTTATTTTAACCACAGTGTTATGAAAAGTGTTAAAAAATGATTTCTGTAATATGGGCTTCATTGCGTTCCCGTAGAAAGCCCAATCTAGCAGTCCAATCTAACACCCTTTCAGTAGCAGGGTAAATTCAGTCAATAAATCGACAAATGTTGACTTCCAGGTAATTTAGAGTCTGTGGCTTGTCAGCGTAGACTCGAGACTTGACATATCCCTACAGAAAGTAGTCTGTCAGCGTGATATCACACAACCGTGGAGGCCAGTTAACATTACCTCAATACGAGATGATGTGTTCACCAAACGTTTCTCTCAAGAGACCAATTGTGGCGTGGGCTGTGTGGCACGTCGCGCCGTCTGTTGGAACCACATATTTTCTAAATCCACTTCGATTTTGTTAAGCTGAGGAACAAATAAGTCCTTTGCCATTGCCCGATAGCGTTGACGGTTTGCGTTTACCGTAACAGTCTGGCCGGCATTGTCGTAAAAGAATAAAACTGCACAATTCGCAAACGTTCCTCTTTTTTAAGTCTATTCATGGTTGACCTACTATTGAAACAGATTAAGCACTTGACAATACAAATATTGAAATGACATAAGATAATAAACAAAATTCGGCTGTTTGATTTTTATTAGATTGTTGTGTTTAGCAATGCTACCAACTTAGAAGCTACACAACTAAAAAAATCACCCTGTAGTAAATAGAATTAAGGTATTGATTTAAATTTGTAATAATTGGTTTAATGTACCACTTCCCTTTTGTATTATCTGTTCCTGCCGACAGACTATCAAGTACCTTGTAATTGAGTGCTATTCCTGTGTTGTATGGTTTACATCGTAGCAGGTACATCGAGAGAACCTCTTTGGCCACCCCTGTCTGTACTCCATAGATATAGATATTCTAAAATGCTTGCACTAGACAGTACTTGCTTATTGTTATAGCACTCCTACCTAAATACTTCTCTGTCACCTCCTTTGTTTTACACTCAGTGTGAAACAAGACCTGTGCCTGAGTAACGGAATATTGCTTTGTTTAATATTTTTATTAAGGTTGAGGGTTTTTAAATTTATATCAGTGTGTCCTTGATGGCCCTTTTGATAGTCATCCGTCGTTTTCTTTTTTCTTCTTCTCCAGCATATTTGGTAGAAGGATTTTTTTTACTGGAGACCGAAAATAACTACATAATTGAAAAGAACATATTCTTTTAACTTACTATCCAACTTTGACATGATTACGATTAGCAGTTTTTAAGTTCTGCCTCCCAGAAAGCCGCGATGTTGGCGAGGATTGAGTTGAATGCGTCGCCGCCGCTAGCTGCCACATGTACACGACCAAGTAGGTATACAGCGCGCTGCGGTGGTTATGTTAGGTTGGGTTATCATCATAAATATGACATTTTGGTGCGTGCGCACTTGGCAACTCAGTCGGCATCCTGCCCGTTTTTTCACAACTTCAACTTAAGATGAGCGCTGCGATAAAAAATACCGCCAGTTAAGAGGTGCGGTCAGTGATACGGTTTGTGTTGGCATTAAACTTAAAATTGATAGACATTTATTGCCATGTTAAAATGTAACATTTTAAAATATGAAGTTTAAGGAAAAAACTTAATGATTGAAAGTTCTGAGAAAATGGTGCATTCAGATTAAAAATGGCCGATCTGACGCTCATGAGTCATGACGAGCGAAGGGCGGACGCCCGAGCATTTTGACTGATGGAACTGGTCGCTAAAGTTGATGAAAAGGTTCGCAAAAACCGCCGATTCCCGATAACGGGTCTTTCGCTTTGTTGGTGACAATTTAAACCACAAAGTCTGTGAAACTTGAGGAGAAGTTTAGATTTTAAGTGTTTTCCAACAAACAGCGTATCACTGACCGCACCCCTTAACTGGCGGGATTTTTTATCGCAGCGCTCATCTTAAGCTGAAATTGTGAAAAAACGGGCAGCGCGAGAATGCTCCCGTTGTCACGGCTGGATGCCGACTGAGTTGCCGAGTGCGCACGCACCAAAATGTACGAGATCGGCGCGCGCTTAGTGGTGTCATAACGAAACGTTCTTTACTTTCTGGATAGCCTTAGTATTGAAAAAGTAAAAAAGTGGTTTACACCTCATTACCTCCCCTGTAGCAGAAAACCTAAGTACTCAATTGAGTAGAGGGTATACAATAGGAGATAAATCTGATGATTTTATGGCAATATTTTTGTAGAAATCCAGCCAGGTAATGGAATTTCGCTTGGTCTGCAGATTTGCTTCGACGGGGGTATTTAACATAGATTTGATTACAATTGGTATTGGGTATTCTCTTGTTGTTAAGCAAGGATGATATTGAACAACTACTACACACATACATTCTATTCATTAACTGTGTTACCTCTGTTTTCTAATTTGTTGTGTGCAATAAGATAATAGCGATTATGGGAAATGATCAGGATGTAACCAAAATTATAGTCTTCATGTTGTATGTTGTTTTTTCTGAAACACTGTGATATAATATATGTATATGAGGTTACATTACCTTAATCGCCAAGTGATCCATGTAGTCCAAAAATAAGATTACACGCGTTTCGACGTCAATGCGTCATTGTAAAATCTTCCAAAAAACTTATCTAAACCATAAGGGTCACGTCACAGTCTTTCCGACACACACGTACAAAACACAATAACTGACAAAAATATATTGAAGTAGGCCTACTAACTAATTTGTGGTAAACGGGTCGTCACATAGTACAGGTCTGATCGCATGCCGAGACTCGACTCAAACATTTTCTGTAAGATTTGACAATGACGCATTGACGTCGAAATACCCGTAATCCTATTTTTGGACTACATGAATCACTTGGCGATTAAGGTAATGTAACCTCACATATATTAAAATTATAGTTAATTTTAGTTATAACAGTTTTGAAAATAAATTATAAGTTTTAATTATTAATTCAATTAAAATACCCTTTTGTAATTTAATTGATTATAATGAGTAAATAATTGTGATACTAGATTTTAATACTGTATTTCATATTGTAGGCCTATTTTATACAAATTGCATTTAGACTTTGAGTGGTAACGTCACTGTGCATTGAGAGGGATTCTCCGAGACACAGTTCACAATTCCATGTTCTATTGCACACTTTACTAGAACTCCCGGCACCGGCACACGCGCCATGTCGCTGCACGTTGCATTCTGCACATTTAGCGATGATGGATTTAGAGTTTGATAAATCACCACCACACTTGTCACAATTTACTGCCATGTCCGATAACCCGTCGGCCACTAGAAATTATAGAAAGATAAAGTAAAAAATTAATATTAAGTATATCAAAAGCATATTGGTTTGTTAAGTAGGTTAACCGGGGCAGGCCAAAGCCGGCAATCAGATAAGGATAGTTCACAGCAGATAAGACAACCTTCCTCATCGGCGGACCGATAACAACTGATAAAAACTAATGTTTGTGGTAGTGACAATAAACTGGAATCGTAATCCATGATTATTATGTATGACAAGTTTTTTTTTCTTTTTCATGGTAAATTTAAATCTAGGAATTCTGAATTCTGAACACTTGGAAACCCTGAGATTGTTCTTAAATTTTATTTTCACGGCTTGCTCGGCACCCTGTTATAGATTGATTTTAGTACAGTAGAACCTCGATAGATCAACTTTTTGTGGATTTGAGGGATGTCGAACTATCGAAATGTCTAACTATAAGGAATAAATGGAGTTTAATATACAGGAAAGTAAAAACACAAGTCTTGTATAGAAATCACCCAAATTTATAAAATACTAAAAAGCTTAACAATTTCACTGTTCATTTGTCAAGTATCAAGTCACAACAATAAAGGACAAATTAATGTTCAAGTCAGCTTACATCACAATAGTATCCATTAAATATCACTTGATAAAATAGCTCTGCCCGTGTCGAACTATAAGGAGTGTTGAACTATCGAAGGTTTTTCTGTATAGTGTATATATTGGAAGGTAGTTGTTTTGGTGATTAGACCTTTTCAGTAATCTGACACTCTTTTGGTCTTTGTGTCAGATTAGCAAGGGTTAACAAAGACAACAACAATCACATTACCGATTTGATTCAATATCAAAATAATGTGAAATGTAAGGAAAATTTTAAGGCATGTTTTCGTATGGTATTTATTGAGTTTGTTCTAATCTTTTATATTTATTTCTTGTTATTTCACCAACTTAAGACTATTTTCTATTATAAAGTATCGCTATTCCTCTGGTATTATAAACAGAGAGAAAGTACATTGTGTAATAATTATCCTTAAATCAAATACAAAATTTTTATTTTCATCAACACAGTCTACATCAAACAGGACAAACTACATGTCAAAACAAACTCTAGACTTTATGATAGGGTGAGATGTCTACCAGTTCAATCTCATCAAGTGATATAACACCTAGAGGAATGTTTCAGCATTATATGGAACAAGCTCAAGATCTAGTGATGAATGAGAATGTACTTCTTCAAACTCTGGGGTTCGATGTGGCTATCGACCATCCTCACACCCACGTGGTACGCTGTTGCCATCTGGTTAAAGGTAAGAAACACATCCAATAAACACTTTGCCTAACCTATATGATTGTATCCAATCGTCGTGAAACTTAGAGAAATAGTCCAACATATATGCATTAGAAAAATCTTATTGCTATGTGTTTCTAGAGTTTGCATTTTGACCTGAAAAATCCAATAAACTTTTCAAAACACTGCTAGTGTTTATACTTTTTATGAATACTCAGTCTGGGGTAAATACACATTTGGAAATACCCTACCCACTGGCTATACCCAGACTAAATCACTAAATATGATTGTTTTTCTCCAACAGCTTCATAGTACAAACTTTGTATTCTGTGGTTCTGTGGTTTCTTTGTTGCAAAACATGTGCAAATGGTAGGCTAGTTATTTGATCAATACTTTGACAGTGCTTTTTAAAATAATTTCATTATAATTCACATGAAATATTATCAATTTATAATTACTAGCCACAATTGGTTCTTTGGAGCTTATACAATTGTTCTCGGCTCTTAGTTTGTTTGCAGCTTAATTGTATTTAGATTAACTAAAAACAATGTGGCTGATAACCATGATACCAGCTGATTGTTTGACTTAAAAGAATCACTTAAGCACCAGAATGCATGTATAATAACAGATGTTTGTGTTGCTGGAAATGTTCTCATCTTGTCAGTTGTTGAAAATGTGTACATATTTTGTTTCAGCTAGTAAAGATCTTGCTCAAACGTCGTACTTCATGGCTTCTAATAGGTAAGAGGATTGTGGTTATGTCGCATAGACAAATTACAATTTTAGTATCAAAGAGTTTTTTTTTAAGGTTAGAGTTGACCTAGCATTCCTGAAAGAGTCCAGGGTCAAACAAAAACAAGAGTCAAAGGTCACATAACATTGCACTGATTGGACTTCTTCAGAGAGTATATTGAAGAAAAAATCTCCTTGAAATCCTCATTAATTATAATGTTAAAAGTACCAATAAGTCAAAGTTTCTAAATATTTAACCTCAATAAGTCAAATTTTAACAACTTTTGAACAGTAACATTCTACCTCTGTAACTCGAATTTTCCCGTCATCGAGCCTCAGTAACTCGAAGTTTACCTTTTTAAGTCGAAGTTTGCATGAATGTGCCTCAATAATTTGAAGTTTAGCCTTAACAATGCAAGGCAGTTGTGTCTTGATTCCTGTGTCTGTTTGGCTAGGTACTGTGGTCAGTGTAGTTTGCCCGTGTGGTTGTAGTTTGCCTGTTTTGCCAAAGTAAATTCAGTACTTAAATACATTACGTTGTAGTGATGTGTCAAAACCGAATCTCAAATCTCAAAACCATCAAAACTTTAGACAAGTTTCGGTTTCAAAATTCGATCACTGAGATTCGAGATTCAAAAGTTTCGAAATTGAAGGCAGTTTTATTTTTGAGACTGCTGATATTTTTTTGGTTCATTATTATTGTTTTAACACTGTTTTCACACAAGCTGGTAGCAATAGAGCAAACAGATCATTATTAAAAGTAATGAAAAAAAGTAAATTGTATGCTGGACTCAAAAGACATTAAATACTATAACTGGAACCACATACAAACCAGTTTCAAAACGATAGTTAGTTACTAAACACAAAGAAATAGTGTCAATAAATGTTCTAATTAATGTAATACTCATGTTTATGTTGGTGTCAGATTAGATTTATTATAATGTTGGTTGTTTATTAAAAATAAATTATGTTGTTTTGGGTTTTAAGCTTATCAGGCACAATTTTATGTTATTATGTCAGGGTCAGGAGTCGATCTCTTTCAGTTTTGATTGCATACTTAACATTTAATTATTACCTGTATTTTTTGTAACTTTGACCTTTGTCAAATCTAAGTAAAAAGTTTCGTGTTTGGGTTTTGGGATTCGAGATTCGGGATTTGATTTTTTAAAGTTTCGGTTTCGGTTTTGAGATTCAAAAGTTCTGGTTTCGACCATCACTATTACGTTGCATTTTGTTTAGTATTTTAATCACACTAGTATTTTCCCTTTAAATATTACTCTCTACATACTTTCTGTATGTACAGTATTGTACCTATTCAGTATTTTTGTTAATACTTTAATACTTTGTTACAGTAGGTTGTTTTTACAGTACATATAAAGAGACTAACGTTTGCTTTAAACAGACATTATACACAGTAAATGTAGTTCCTTGTATGGATGATATACACCGTATTATTCTTTTGTATTTTGTACAGTATTTATACTAATTTTTTTGTAATTTGACATGTTTTTTTATGTACTTTATCAAACTTGTTGCCAAATATTAAATACAGTACTTAATGTAGGGTACATTAAAATTTTTTTTATTTTGCTTCCAAAGTTACTCTTCAGTACTTATAAATACAGTTGGAGTTCGATTTATAAAGGTTTAATACATAAAAGTCAAGTTATAAAGGCCGTGTCGTAACATCACTGTCAGACCCCAACACCTCTGTATCTCGAACTTTTTCATATGGAACCTTCATAACTCGAACCTCACTAACTTGAACGACTTGATAACTCAAATTTTTATCATAACCCCTTCAGATTCGAGATATTGAGGTCCTACTGTATGTACGTGGGTCACAGTTATAGTAAGCTTAAGCCAATTGAATAAGTTGATGCTAGGTTTCAGTATTTAAGTTCAAAACTAAATAAATTGAATGCCAGGATTTATAAAAAAATTTAAATTGATGCTGTGAGGAAAATTTAAAATCAAATATTTAAGAGCTCCTTTAAGTTATTAAGGTACAGACAAATTTGAAATAGGCCTAGGCTAAGTTTTAAGTTTCTAGCAAGAAAAGTTACAAAATTAATCACTTAAGATAAACCTTTAGGTCAAACAAAACATAAAACTAAGCCTCAGAGTCTCTTTTGTAGTTTCTTGATATATATCTGTTAATAATACATATTATTTAGGCATCTGATTATATCTGATTATACAGTGCGGCGGGTATGGGGGTGGAAAGATGATCCAGGGGGGTGGGGTGGATGAGCAAAATTTGTATTAGGAATAAAATGAAACTGTTATAACCTAACCTAACCAAACTTGCTGATTATGAAACAATTTAACGAAGGTTTACTAATCGAATCAATATTCATTTTCAATCAATATTAAGGTAGACCAGTTAAGAAACTGTACCCGGTCTCCGTTACATCCTGCCCCCTACATCCACTAATACCCCTCCCCTGAATCACTCTTGCGCTCTGGGGAGTCAAACGATACTTGGGCCTACCTGACGGTTTTGACAGTTTATGAAGTTTGACATGGCAAAGAATAGAATGGCACTCGCTTCGTTTCCCCAAATGTGCAATGGACAAACCCTACAAATATTTATACATTTAACTCATCTGTAGAGACATATTATGTGTCTCTATGGTTAAAACATTAAAACATTATGGCACACTTCCCTATCAATAATCCTATACTTATGAGATTTGTTTGGATAGCAATATATGTGAACTGTGATCCTTCATACTAATAAGTGACTATATTTCTTAGTTCAGATTGTATTATAAATTGATGTTTTTCAGCTTACATTTGACAACAATGTGCCTCCAGTACAAACCAACGGTTGTTGCTTGTTTCTGTATTCATCTTGCCTGCAAATGGTCCAACTGGGAGGTAAGTACTGTGTTGTAGATTACCCAATACAAATGTCCCACTAATCCTAACTGGATCATTTTGAATCGCATACAAATTTATTTTGGCTAGATTTGTAGAAAAATCTTTGTTTTGAAGCTGGAGAAAGTAGAATGAGTATTTAGTAGTGTCAGTCTTACTAGTTCATCATCACTTATATACAGAATCAGATGTATACTTTTTTCTATAGGCCTACTAATTTGCCTATGTACGGATATTGATTCTCTCGATTAATTGTTGAGATCTAAACAGTTCAACCCCACTAATTAACTAAGTAATCCACTAAGTAACTAGTACTAATTGCTTTTATAAAACTAATAAAATGCTAATACCTAAATTTGATTACTTAGTACCTTAGTACCATAGTACAATAGTAGTAGTATAGGTAGAACCATGGCTCACAACGCAGTGCTACTAGTGTCTATAGATGAGTCAGAGTAGGTGTGACTTAATTTCCTCTGTTAACTGCATTGGAGTCACACAACTAGTTGATTTGATTTTATTTGACATCAGTGTTGATTCTTATATCGATTCATACAGTTTCTTTAGAAATATCCCTGACACAACTTACAGTATACCGTACTTTATTCTGCTGTCCTACTAACATGTCTGAATCACTTACTCATTTTAAGTCTAACATCACATCATGTACATAATAGTGTCATACTGAATATACACACACACTCACACACACACACACACACACATATATATATATATATGTACAAGCAAAAATAACACTTCATAACAAACCTAGCCATTACTGTATTCTGTACATCAGATTTCGTATAAGAATGGAGTGAGAAATCTGCTTGGGTCAACTGTAATCTTGACAAATCAACAATCGTGTCACAATCACAGATTATAGTAATAATGATATTTATTTTATCATAATATCAACTGCATTTCGTAAATTCCTTCACAATTGAACACAAAAGCATGTCTTCCAAGATTTTTTCTAAAAGCAGTACGGGTTTAAATATTTGTTAAGCAGTACGGGTTGAAATATCACTTTTTCCATCCAACAAGAATAAGCGTTTGAATGTGTTCATCACAGCTTGTTGATAGATAAACTTGAAAAATATGGAATAAAAAACAAGGAACTGAATTGGTTTTCTTCATACTTGAGGGATGGATATCAAAGGACTAAAATTATCAAATATAGACATACTGTATATTCTAATTGGAAAAAAGTTGAAGTAGGTGTGCCTCAGGGATCAATATTGGGTCCCTGTATGTTTCTAATTTATGTAAATGACCTACCAAATGTGTCAAAGATGGATATCTTTCAGTTTGCAGATGACACAATGATGTAAGGGACCCAATGTTGAATCCCTTCAGCACACAGTAGATACAGAATTGGCCGCTCTAAGTGACTGGTTTGGGGTAAATGGGCTCTCCTTGAACATGGACAAGACTCAAGTAGTTAATTTTCGATCAGATCATAGAAATAGTTAAAACAAATCACTTTTCCAAATTCTCAGTTAGTGTCTGAGGAGACAGTCAATTTTTTGGGTATTCATATAAACGAAAATCTTGACTGGCTTCCTCACATTAACAAATTACGAAAAAAGCTTTCTTCAGCAATTTTTTCTCTCAGAACAATTTCTCAAGTCACTGACTCTAAAACTCAATTAACAGTTTATCACTCATATTTTTCATCTTTAATCTCATACGGAATTCTTGTGTGGGGAAATTCTTGCCATAGTAAAAAGATTTTTAGGCTTCAGAAGAAGGCACTTAGAATTATTGCAAAAGTACCCCAAAGAAGTCCATGTAAAACCATCTTTCAGGCTTTTAAAGTTTTAACATTTTACGACCTATATATTTTAGAAGCATTATTTTGGGTTTTCAACAATTTGTCCATTTTCAGGGAGAGTCACACAAACCATAAGTATAACACTAGACATAAGAACCTAATTAAGCCATAGATTATCACTATTTGAAGCATCACCTCAATATATTGGACCGAAATTGTACAACTTAGTTCCTGATAATTAAAAAACATTACCAATCCAAATAAATTTAAAAAAGAATGTAAAAACTGGTTGCTAACCAAAACATTTTATTCTTTAAATGAATTTTTAAGTGGAAATTGGTAGGATGTTAAGTATTAAAATTATTTTGTTTTAAATTGAATATTATTATTTAGCTTTAAGTATTATAATGTAATTGACAAATGTCCTGTCATTTTGTGATGTAATGGCATTCTGTAAATAAAAAAATGTCTTTCTTTGTTTGTATTTGTAAACATGTCATGTGTAAATGTTTTCAGATCCCATTGAGTAATGAGAGCAAAAGTTGGTTTTGGTATGTGGATCGTAGTGTCACTCAAGAACTCCTAGAGCAATTGACGGACGAATTTCTTCGTATATTTGACAAGTGTCCTTCTCGGCTGAAACGGAAAATCTCTGCCAACCAGAATATGACTGGATACCATATGGGCGTGGTAAGCAAGAAGAAATTCTATCGTAGTTTGTTGTGTCATAGCAATACTCAGGGCCGAATTTAGCATTTGGCGCCCCTAGGCATAATAATTTTTCCACCCCTAGCCAGGTTAATGTTTCTCTCCTTGTAGGTTTGTAACCTTTACTATTTAACCCACAGAACATTCCTGCAAAAATAACTCCGTACAGTAGGTCATTACGTGATACCATATATTAAACATACCCCCTCGATAGATTTTTCATCCTTATAGATAAGCTGAAGACAATTCTTGTTATTTTAGTTATTGTAAACCTTGTTTAACCAAATAAAACTATCTAATCAATCATAAACAACTCGTCCTCTAGTTATACAGCCAAACAGTTAACCACAAATAAGGGCCGGACTACACGAGCGTATGAAACGCCGCCAACCGTCTGCTTTTTTTGCAGAGCCAATAGCTTTATATGATGTGGACTACACGAGCGTTTTGTCCTTCTGGTGAAGGCACGAAATTCAGGCGTTCGGCAGATCTAACGCCTCTGGCTGCGTAAAATACGCGGGCAGATCGTCGTTGTGCCGGACGAAACGTAGCGGCAACTAGCATTTCCCCTGCACGTTGATATATCCCTCCTCTCACTTCGGCGAGTCCAATTCTGCACTACTTGTTGTAATTGGAGTCGTCTGATTGTTTTTTGTGCCTTATTATTTGTGTTTGTCTCGTGAAAATTTTGGATACAGAGAAGTTTATATACGAGGTTGAACTGCGTTCTGCACTGTATGTTGTTTCTTGTAAAGAATACAGTAATAAAGATGTTGAAAGCTAAGTGTTGGGTTGAAGTTTGCGAGGCTATGTTTGCAGATTGGAAGGACATACCAATGGATAAAAAAGATTAAAGAGCATACAGCTACACATCTGACCTGTATCGTATCCATATTGGAACGGACCAAATGTCAGCCACATTGGGCGAAGACAGTCGGCGGTGTTCTATACGCTCGTGTAGTCAATGCTCGCGCGTTCAATCCGCTGCTGATTGTCGGCTTCGCGTAGTCCTAGACATTTTTGCGCACTATCGGCGGCGTTTCATACGCTCGTGTAGTCCGGCCCTAATGAAAGGAACTCTAAAATAGTGTAAAGAAAATTTTGTTGACACTAGCGATCAATGTTACCAACATGAACTAGACACGAAAACGAGCTTCAAAATTTAAAATGGGATGATAAGTCTACTTGTGTTGGTTAGGCTATGGTGATACTGCATCTATATCCAAAATATCCAACTGTCGATCCAAGTCCTGAGGTGAGAATGACAGAATTAAAATTGCGCTTTGGAGAGTACTCAACTTTCCTAAAACCTATTGCAAATTCAGATTAATATTTTTTTGTTAATCTGATGACAAACTCATAGTTTTTTTTGTGAGGTGAGGATGGTAACAGTGTCTTGGCAAGCACATGCGCGCATTATCACTTCGAGCAGTAGGACTTGCGTCGTGCCAGCAAAGTGGCAGTGGCAATACAATGTGTACCACTCGAAAACATCCCTATAACCTTCTCCCGACCAATGTTGTAACAAAGTTGATGCGTAATCTTGAAATATAGTTCAATTTTACAAACAATTATTTGTTCCAATGAACTCCCAACAAATCAGAAGTTTTAACTATACCATGCTTCTTTCAATTAATTTACAAGATATGTTAAGTTATGGCTTTATGTTTATTTATTTTTTTCTAGATATTTTTTTAATACCCCTAGGCCGTGCGCCCCCTGGGAGCTTGCTCCCAAAGGCCCGGGCCTACTAGGCCTATTGGGAAATCCAGCCCTCTCAATACTACTTGTATTGAATCAAAAATGGTTAAGGATCCTAAAAAAGAGAGTTTAGAGTGATTCTGTTTCACTGGTTAACTACCAGTATTAAATTTCTCTGTTCGAAGCATTTTTTAATCTATTGTAAACCTTTATGAACAACTTATGCTGGAGTTTTCTTTAGAAATAATTTTACATATGGTAATGACGCATGGAATCATTGCCGAGCTAATTTTTACTAACTTAGGGTGTCCAGCCCACCTGGAAAACTGGGAATCGTACATGAATTTTGATGGCCAGTTAAGAGTCGGTGAATTTTGTTTGAAGCCAGAATACTTTAGATTTAGAATTAGAGCTTTTCACCTTATCATGTCAAGTAAGAAAATTGGCATCACGGGAAATAATCACTATGTGATTGTGCTTGCCGAAGTAGCCACGATTGTAAGAAAATACAGTATCATGGATGTCGCCGCGATAGCAGAAAATAACCAATAATGCAAAAAAAACTCAAGAGATGATCATGTTGCCACAATTGCAGACGATTTGATTTTCACCGGACACTGTACTCCCTGTAAATTTATAACTTTGGTTCTATTCGGGAGAAAACCAAAGTTAACAAAGAGTTTAGATCGGGTGAACGACAGTACTCAGAATTTTAATTTACAATATTTGAATTGAGTACCGGTACTTTTTATTTTACTCTGTTTATTTGTACATTGATAACATTTTTATGTAGGCTACTTAAAAAAAAAACAATTTTAAGAAATTATAAAAAAACGCTCCAGAACTTTTTTAGACTTTTAGGCTAAAAAAAACTAAAAACAGTTTGATTTGGTTTTGCAGAATGAACTGAACCAAAAGAGACCGGTGCCGCTGCCAGGAAGTGCCGGGGACAGTCAGCATGGTGTCAGCTTCCAGCAGCCAAACAGAGGACCACGCACAAGTATGTATCCACAGTATAGAGTGCAGGCTTTACATGAAACAATGGAGTTGTTTTAATTAAAGTCTGTTTTACCTGAAACCAAACGAATTGCCACGACAGCTTGTTGGTTAGGAGCACATAAATCTTCGTTTATGACTTTCATAATCTATTACTAGGGTAATGATGCAATAAAGAACCCATTAGTATTCCCAAACTCACTAATGAGTAATGACAATAATTATTTTGTCGTACCCAAGGTCAAGTCAAGTACTTCCAAGAACTCATGAGTCAGTAGTTAAACTCATACAAGTTTTATCAGTTTGATTAATTAATTACTCACTTTAAATCTAATAATTTGGCCAGTAATGTAGCCTGTCAACATTGTAGTTTATTTAATAATTCAGTTACATATTTATTTGCTAAGATCACTATTTTAACTGTGCAATAAACATAGACAGAGGTCTATAGTTTAACCTCAATTAGATATTAGCTCAGGATGAATTTTTAATCTTTGAACGACAACATAATTTTAACATAAAGAAAATAGATGACAGCGGCTACTGTGAACGGCGTTTGTTGTCAATTTGGCCAATCTCAGAAAAACAGTTTTGTATTGTTTTCAGATCATGGCAAAAGTTGTTATTAATGAATTTGAAATTTCAGATGAAGAACAGAGGAAGAAGAGTGAGTCCAATGTAATGTTACAAGCAATGGGAAGCCACAATCCCCGACCTCCTCCCCCTCAGTCCCATGCTGCTCCAAGGTAAGTCTAGATACTTAAAGTTGAACAATCCTTTCGTTTTTAAATTAGACTGTACCTTGTTATTATTTCTGTTTACCGAAACACACACATCACTTGTTAATTGTAAATAAATACCATTGTTAACTTAATAATGGTTATGATATTTATGATAGGTATCATTTTTTTTTTTTTATATTCCCAGTAGAACCTTATCCATACTGGATCACGACTAAAGAGATTTATACTCAGTTTATGTACATGTACAAGCCCTAATATTTGCAAAGAATTATTCTCAGTTATCTTCATCCAGCAGTTATGAAGATATACTTACAAACAAGTGTTCTACATTATTGGTATATTCCCTGTAAAGATGACTAGTGTCAGAACATTATTTAGCTCTACCTTGCTTGGCTTGTATAGTTTGTATTGCTATGTTACAGGGAAGGAGGTGGTTATGGGTTATATCACGGAATGCCAAGTTCCAGTCAGATGAGCAGCAGTCACCAGGCTAACAACTCACAATTTCTTTACCCACCACCGAGCACATCATTTACAGGATCGGCTCCGGGACAAAGTGCTAACGGACCCAACAGTCGCTTGCCCAGCCCTTCAGTGCCTAAACATGTTGCCCGGGGCACAGAGGCCATATTCCATCCCCCCAAACGCAGCGGTGGGGGCAGCAATGCTAGTAGTAGTAGCACCAGTCACTCTTCCACTACTCCTTCACTGTCAAGCTTCAATAGACCTATCAAAACTGAGATGCAACCTCCGGCTCCACAACCTGTTAAGAACACTCATCATGTGCCTCGTAATGGTACAAGCCATTCATCTGAGACCATGACTCAACAGCCAATTAAGAGTGAGAATTACCAAATGAAACATGCGATGGATAAACATAGCTCCAGCCATCAGAAAAGTCATGCGAAAATGTACGATAACCGTCAAGTGGGAGCGAGCTGGAGTAGCAATACAGATGTTTCTAGAACTGGTCTATCAGGTTCTGTTGATCTCAACCCATTGAAACACATTAAAACAGAAATTAAAACAGAAATCTTACCTCCTGTGTCTAGTTACCATATACAAATGCCAGCCCCAATCTCAATAAAACAATCTATGTCTCCTCCACCACCACCTCCCCCTCTACCCCCTCCACCCCCTCCACCACCACCTCCTCCATGCAATCCTTTGCCTATCTCAAAACCTTCGTCCATCTTCAGCCCCGACAAAATGACCCCACCTATGCCAAATTCTCCAAAAGATATAAAACCAATTGTTTTGAGTCCTTTGTTGTTATCACCCATTTCCACAAACAAATCGGGACGTAATCGTACCAGTAGCTCTAGTTCCGAACCTGAACTTATACCAGTAATGCCTAAACTCGAAGAAATGTCAGGATTTGAGAGTTTGGCTAAGGGTAAAACGGCAATCAAACTTCCTGGAAAAGTACCTGAACCGGCCATTAGTTCAAAGGACAAACGGAAAGAAGTTCCTTCAACCAGCAATGTAACTCACACCAGAGATGTTAAAACTCAAGATGTTGCCTCGGTGCCTCATCGTCCTCCTGAAGTGACAGAGAGTAAACCAGTCGGTGAAACTCAATGGCCAGAAGTACCGGCTTCGTTCCCAGACACCACAGGGTCGGGCAAACGTGAACATAAAAAGAAGAAAAAACATAAAGAGCATAAGGAACATCGCGAGCATAAAGAGCACAAAGATAAGGAGAGAGATAAGGAAAAAGATAAGAAAAAAGACAAACACAAAGATAAACACCGTGAAAAAGAAAAACATAGACAGGATCCCGCTCCCATCAAAATCACTATTCCTAAAGATAAAATAAACAAAATTATTATCCCTCCTCCGAATCCTCCCACCTCCACAGCCGCACCACCCTCAGATACAGGGTCGATTTTCAAAATTAAAATACCCAAAGATAAACTGAAACCCCACGTGGAACAGGGAAAAACACAAAGTAGCCTGAAAATTAAAATTAGTAAAGATGCTATAGCATCTCATTCTTCTTCTAAGAGCAGCTCGTCTTCTAGTGGGTCCTCAAAAAAGAGAGAAAGAAGTAGTCATCGTGATGAAGAAGGCAGACATCCTAGCAAACATGCAAAGATCTCCAAAACCAATGGAGATTACAGATCGGCCGAGGTAATTATTTAGAAAATTATGATTCATCTCTGTAGTATGCTTTAAAAACACATTCTTACATTTTATCTTAGCTCTACCACATTTCGCTTTGCCAACCATCTATACTATCGTAACCGTAAGGGCTTATTATTTTATTTTAGCTCTTGGTTATTAAAGTGCTAATTGTACTTATGGTTCATTGATACTTATGCTACAGATTACTTAACTTATCATCCAATTCATTGAGCTAGAAAATATTGTATAGCTTTTAGTACCAGAGTTTTCCAAAATACAAAGCTATTCTTGCCTGAAGGCTACAACAAATGTCAAGCTCTGAATTACCGGGTCACATTTGGCACCTTAGAAACTGGATCCACTAATCAGTTGGAGCAGTCCTTACCATTGCCTGTAGAACATGCCTTTAGTTGAGTAGGGCAATATTTAGAATACCTAAAATAAAACCTTAGCTGAGGACTTTGAAGCAGTTTTGATAACAGCATGTGACAAACTCAGCCCAGATCAGCGGTCAGCAACATTGGTCCCAATGTGCGACAGCTAGTCATCCTTTATTATTGCAAATATGCTAAGAGTACTGAGAAAGTTTGATTTTGTTCTGGTAAAGTCCAGGAACCTTTCTCTTTTGAAAACCTGTGGAATCTTTATTTATGACCTGTGCACTAACATCTTTCTGCTAAAACTTGCATATTCAAATCAAACCAAATCAAATCAAATTACTGTATCTTTATTCACTTTATACATTTTATATAGGCCTACATGAATAGTCAGAAAGCATACAAAATTGTTTATACAATTTAATCTATAAGACTTAACCATACAATTTGACAATTATTTTAGAACGGATAGCTAATTCATTTTTGATTTAGAAACTCGTCTATACCATAGGGAGATATTGTAACATTAACCATGGTTGTAGAAACCATGGTTGTAGCTTCTATACAACATTTTTGAGCTGTGACGAAAATACAAGGTAAATAAACCACTATTAATGTTAGGTTTGTAACTTGCATGCATTATTTTATTGATTTTTTTTTTTATAATCACTAATAGTAAATCACTAATAGTAGCCTACACGGTACTCTAATATTTTGTGTTTTATTTTCCAGTGACTCTTACTATGTATTTGGGCCATATAAGGTAAGCAGGCACTTAATTACTATCTGTAGTGATAATAAAACAATAACAACTAACTTTCTTGCAACTATTTATCTTAAAGTATATAAACCACAAATACAGATAAATTTTAACTCAGTTTTTGAGTTCATATTTTGAATAATTATTTTTCTATTACTGCAATAAAGGTAATGGATGGACAACCGTACCAACTGTTTGTCTGCAATAATATTAATTTTTCTAGTAATTTTTTTAGTAGGTAGTATCCAATGAAAAACTTAGTGCAACGTTACAATTCCATGCAACTGGTAGGAAAATATACCATCAACAGCAACCACAACATAAAATACAGTAAACTAGACCACAACAAACGTTGCGACATCGGCAAGTGAGGGTCTAACTGGGGTCTACAGTATGCAACGATGACTGAGTCACCGTTTGCACGCAATGACTTGTCGTTACGATCTACAGAAATTGGTGGAAATTTCCACCAACCTTCCAACCTCATTCCAAGTCAGACAAAATGTAACAACTTCCAGTTTACACGCTCCGCCTTCATGCGACGTTTTGTCGTTGCAGACAAATCGTTACGTTTTATTGTAGCGTGTAAACTCCGGTTTAGATAATGTAAATTCATCATCACCAACCACCTTCACTTCTGTAGAGCGTAATAATTTAAATTCTTTGTAAAAAAACTGCTTACTTTAATCCACATAGAGTTTATTGGAGTTAACTTACAGGAGGTACCTTTATTCACCAAACATAAAGTAAACATATATCGGTGTGTGGAGTTAAATCTACAGATTGATGTCTAATTATTGGTTTTCTGTTCCAGGAGCCGAGAGATCCTTTCGGATTTGTTAAGACTGTGTTACTTAGTTTAAGTTGATTAGTAGTTTTTTATGTAGTAAGAAACTTTTACGATACCTCGTAATGACAATGATTTAATTTCTAGAAATAATTTTGTTGCGACTCGAAGCAATGAGTGTTCTTCGAGGCAAAGCATTTTCAACTTACCTATTTTTTTCAATGGTTTTACATTGCTTTTATTAATAATTGAAACTAAATTGTTAATATTTAAGTTCTAAATATTAGCTCAGTTAGTTTCCTCTTTTTAGTGACTCTGCAACAAATAAGTATTTTTTTGTCAGTGCGCTGACTCATTGCAATATTACTAAGTACAACCGTCCACTTTACCAAGAACCCTGACTATAAATACAAGATAGTATGCACATTTAATGTTAATATTGTATATTAATACTGTGGTAAGATAGGGGAAGTACTTGTGTATATAGTATACATACTATATATATGTGCATAGCAAAATTGTACAAATAAATTATGTTTAGATTCAAATTTGTGTTTAGTTACTTTGTAAGAGAACAGTCTTACTTTAGAAGGGGAGAGTCCTTAGCAGTGTTTTTATGTCAATTAAATTAGTTTTTTACTTGACGCTATCCAGCTTTTACTTTTTATTAACAGTATCCTTGATTTAATTGTTGGATCAACAATTTGAATGATTTATAGAGGTTGTGTGAGCTTATCCCACACTCACATGTTAGATTGAAATATGTTAAGAAACTATATGTTGACAATTCTTGTAAACATTTCCTCATGTATTTGTAATTAATTGTTTTTGAAAGCAAAGAGTCTTACTTTGTAAGGGAAGAGCTCTAGTACTGTTTTTATGTTAGTTAAATTAATTCTACTTGACGATTTTCCAAATGATTTTCAGTGTAGTTGATTTGATTGTTAGGCCAACAAAAGCTAATATGAAGGTTAATTTATGGAGGTTTGTAAGAGAAAATATCGCAGTCACATGTTAGACTGAAATAATCCTTATTGTTAAACTACAAATATGTTGACCAGTCTTATAAACGTTTCCTCATGTAATTTTTTACCTTAACAATAGTTGTAATAAATCTGTTCTGTTCCATAATAAATCTGTATCATTTCTACCCTTCACTGTTAAACTACTTATTGTTTACGTCTGAAACAGTTACTATCTGAGTCAGACAGTAAGTTAAATTTCGTCCATTTATAGTTATATTATTAGTATGAGTACATAGCTTTAACTTTATACTCTGTCAGAGATTTGTGAGTTTGTAGAATGTAACCATTGACTATATAATGATGTAACTGATGATAAAAAAACTAGTTTAATGTTATTGATATTATCAGTATCATTGCAATTGTGGTAAAATTACTTAGGTTTAAACATTTCTGTGGAATTAGAAACTCGTGTTCTTCCATTTCAATCTCTTAACTATGCGAAAAAAGGTATTAAGAAATTAACAATTATATTTCATCACAGAATCTTTATTTATAGATAACCATAAGTTTTGTTGTCAAAGACTGTACAGTTTATTGACTGTTTAGACACACATCATTGAGTCAAAAGTACAAACAGTTGGCTGAATAATGTCTGTAAATTACATAACAATATCTACAGATAAATTATCTTGAAATATAAAAACTGACACAATAGATATACAAATCTTTAAATATAAATGATGTGATTGATTGTAATAGCTGTTTGGTGAACAAACAAAATTTATTGTAGTCTTTACCATACTGCTTGATACGATTTCTGGAACAAATGGTCCCACAATGCCTACTCGATATTATCAGATGAATAATAGGTAACATACAGCACAGCAGAAAACTGTTTTATAACACTTTTCATTTGAATACATTGTGTGTTTAAAAATTGTTTGATGATTCATAAGTAAGAATATTATGAATCTTTAATATCTAAATTTCTCTTCAAACAAATTGATGTTTCCAGTTTACAAATCACTTACAAATACTAAAGTAGCGGATTTACAGCATATATAAATTCCAGTATCAACAATAATAGCTAATTTATTTATACTTTTCTAATTGTATACAAAATTTTAACTCTGCAAATCCAAAAACAACATTTGCTAATTGTAAGAAGTATCATTGGGAGCCGATGCATTTGTTACATTTTACATTAGTGAACAAAAAGCGCAGGGTTTGTATTTCCCAGTTGATTCTAAATGTACGAAGACTTTGGATACTAGACAATATGCAAATTCTATCTAAGACAGGTACAATGGGATTAAAGAAATTGATTCATATCTCAAATCTGAGGCAGTTTTACAATTTAAGGAAGCTCCGAGCATGTGAGAAGCTCTGATATAATTAGAGACTGAAAACATAAAGTGGGACAAATGGCTCCTAAGCTAGTGTAAAAGCCATAACCAAATACTGGATTTAGAATTCACAACTTGGTAGACTGGAGTACCAATATTTAAACACCATTTTCTGTTAATAAAACTGATAATAGGAAAGTTACTGCAGTCATTTGAAAATATTTTGTCTTTTTAAGTGGTCTGTGTGCGAACAGTCTAAGTTTGGTGTTTGGTAGCATAATGAATGGTTCATGTTGCATGGTTATGTTCCAAGAATGACATAACATTTAAAGTCTTCAAAACTATTACAGCCATGTTGTTCATTTGCATTAGTTACCCCAAATATTACATCTAAATGCAATAGTAGTACAGATGATTAACAGATTTGGTATTTTGAACCTTTAAGATAATAACACAGCATATTTTTCTTTCATGTTAAAACTTATCTAAATTATATATTTTATTAGTTTGAATAGTTGAATTTTTACACATTTTGGCATAGTTGATTCTTGTTTCAAACAAAATCTTACATTTTCAACATCAATTATAGTATATTTCATACCCTCGCAGAACACTGGATGGTTTATGGAATACTTGGAGGTGTTGGCATCTGTAATTATACTAAGTAAGGTCAAAGCTGACCCAACTAAATAACATTAAAATATTAAAATTATTATTCGTTACTTTAATTTTCAAAAAATAATTTCATATGTTTGAATATCACCTTAAGTACTTCAAAAACACCGATACACGTTTGAAACGGAGTAGTATGGAGGGTATGATGAAAAAAACTTCCTCTTTATTTTAGTGTTTAGTGTAAATTTTTAGTGTAATAACAACTTTTTTACTATTTTGTACAAACTCTTATAACACAGTGCAACAGGAGTTTTAATTATTGTGGCAAAATTAACAAGATTTACAAAATCATTAAAAAATGTATGCAATCTCATTACTTAACAATCTCAGAAAAACATGAAATACAAATGCACGATTCTTTGTGGACTCATAAATAGTACTTAAAATATTATCAAGCTAAGTCTATCATGTATGTGTTAACAAACATAAAGTAAGTTCCATCTGGAAGCACATTCTGGTACTTAACAGGGTCAAAGGGTTATATTGTATTATTACTGTAATATCCAATGCTCTACAACCATAAATTATAATGGCGCAGTAAAAAAGTTATAATTTAAACAAAATTAGTTAAAACAAAAATTGCATTTGATAAAAACAAGTTCTTCCATATTTTAAACAAATCACCTGATTTAAATTTCCAAATAATATGACAAATTACGTAGGCCTAACTATTTATTTATTTATACTCTTAATGAGCTTTATTCACAACTTAGATGATCTTTTTTTCTGTGTTAAAGAAAAAATGGATAAATGTACATTACTATCAACATCTACATTTTATAAAAATAATACTTATTATTTCTTAATCCCAATTAAAATTTAATTTTGAGAAATGGGTGGAAACTTAGCAAGATATTTTGAGTGTTGTTTAAGGTTATTGAGAAGTATCAAAAATGTAAACCGATGATTAATAGCCAGTAAAATTATATATAAACACTGTTTTATGTTCTAGTGAATTTTACCCTCTAAGGAAAAAGCTATATATATAGAACCAGCAAAATTGTAATGAAACTGGGTATTATGACAATGTTTATTAAATTGTTTTTTTTTTTCAAAATTGTTGCCTTTGAAACGTAAAAATGATTAATTTTCATTACACTCATCATGTGGATCATAAAAAAAACAAACAATTTAGTACTATATGATTCTCTACGACATTCAGTAACAGATATATTCAATTTATAAATGTTATCCAGAGGGTCATTAAGTTGTTATAGATTTGCTTGGATATGGAAATATTTTGATAACGTTTGACAAATTTATTTAATATTTAATACATACCAAGTTGACAGTCCACAAAAAACAAAAAAAAACACTTCATAACCTTCCCTGTTCCAGCAAACCTAGGTACTCGCTTAAGTTAATGTCTTTTAAATAAATGATAAATTCAACATTAAGGAAATATTTTAGAAAAAATCCAAACTGTCAAATGGAAATGGAAATTTGCTTGGCTGATTAGCTGCTGTAAAAGTATTATTATTTCTGCATCAACACGAACAAGAGATGTAAAAATTAAATTCAGCTGCATTTTAAAATGGTTCAGGTTATGAAAATGAGTTTTATCACTGATAAAAACTAACTTAAGAAAACTCTTGGTAAGATAATATGAGATATTGAAATCTATTTTAAAGCTATCTGTAAAAAGATGAAAATCTAAGATTTTTTAACGAATGTTTACTCTTTTGTGAGCCAATCATCACTTGATTAGTTTGTCTACAAACATTAAGTAAATTTTATTGTAAACATGATTATGTTTATACTGTGGGTGAATAGGCTGTTGTAAATTAATTTCTAAACAACTGAAGCAATCGAGTACCAAAAATTTAATTTCAGCTTAAACTCGATATTTATGTTTTTCCAACTAAACTTACACAGCTGAAATAAATTTTCTCAATAATCTCTATCCTATAAAAATAAACTATAATCATCGGCATTTTCAAGATGTTAATAGATTTTGTTGAGACCGGAGAATAATATTAAAAGATACGTTTATTAAACTACATGTCTAGAAAATTACAAAAGAGATAAACAGGTGATTACGAATTACTAACACTACCGTGGAATGTAAAGACACTTCATCTGTAGTGTTATGATAAAAAAATAATTACAAAGCACCTTTTGACGGTAAACTGATAAAAACAAATACAACTAAAGAAAGTAACACTGGGCGATTATAAAAACGATATTCTGACTTCAGGTTGTTGGTCTATCGAGGCGATGGGGGAAGAGGGCGACGGGGAGGCGGGAGAAGCGTAATCAATGTCGGAGTTGGGATAAGAAGTGGGGAGATTGACGACGACGGAAGCTGTCATGTTGGAGGAGGTTGTGGAGTTGGCTTTGCTGATAGAGACCAGAGAGCCGGTGAGAGGAATAGGTGGGGTCTTGTGTCCAACGGTGGGCCGGGGAAGTGCTATGTTGCCTGTGCTGCTACCACCGTTGCCACTCCCACTGGCGCGGCTGAACTGCAGACGGATCTGAATGTCATTCAACTCCTCCTCGTGTCCTGCCACTTCTGACGAGGCTCCGCTCTGATGGTGGTGGTGATGTTTCTACAACAAAAGTATTCAACAACTTATTTTAAGAATTTTCCAAGCACATAAGATATTTTAAACCTCTATTTTTAGCTCAACATACAGAAGTGTGCTGATTTCAGTTATGAAAATAGCTCAAAACATTTTCTGCCACCAGTATGGTTGTAATATCAGTATTGGTTGTTCCACACCCTTTCTTGTAGATTTCTTCCTCTGGAATGTGTAGGACAATGATGTGTGGGAATTTCCAAATACAACACTGCTAAGCTTACTACAGGAGTATGGGCCTGGACTGAAGTACACCTTCCACCGTAGGACCGCGGGAACACTAACATTGCATTAACATAAACTTGTTAGGACCAAAAGCACCTGGTTCCATCGCCAAAACCCATTTTTCCTCTTTCTAATGCCCTCCGCAAACATTCAGTTATCTTCTCAGCTAGAACAAAGTGCGTTGAGCTCATAGTTGAGTAACCTAGACTAAAACTATGACAGATAATAGTTGCATTGCTGGGTTACCTGGGAAGGCGTGAGGCGTTGAGCTGGATGACCGAAGGCGTAAGGAGGGATAGGAGGGAGCAAATGCACATCTCAATCATGCTTGGCAGTTCGGCCATTACATATCAATGCTAAAGGCGACATATTCGTATAATTATTTTAAAAGTACATTTAATAATTTAGATAGATTTTTGATTTTGAACCAATTATATTATTCACATTTTAGAATTTAAAAGTTATTATATACATTAGTTAATTGCAAAAGTGTAATCCAATGGATGGATGGAGTTGCGTAGGCAGTAGAGTGTAGGGGTGTAGTGCTTTGTATGCGTGTGTGAATGCCAGTGTGTATGTGTGGGGTGTACGGGAGATTGGGATCATGCTGGGAGGAACGCCAGGTACAAAACGCTCCACAAAACGCCTCACGCGTTCGCTCACTACAAACACTACTCAGTACAGTTAAAGTTACACATTTATTACAAGCTTATTTTTGTCGTTATATTTATTGGTTTACAAGTCTATGTCTATGGTTTACTGATTATTATTCATGCTTTGGCCGTTACAGAAGTATATCAGGCTGTAAGAGTGAATACTAGTAATAATTGCTGTTACTGAGTAAACAAACTGTAAAAGATATTTAGCATTTTTGCTCTTTGAACTGCATTTCACAAATTATCCCACATGGATAATATGTTTAATATTTGTTATTTTTATGTATAATTAAGTGAGCAACTTAAGCCTATGAATATAAGCCTACATAGGAAGCCAAGACTGCGGATAATATGGAAGGCAGGCTGTAGAGGATGGCATAGGATATGTATGTTAGAGGATTTTATCTAGTTTTATTTTTTCTGTTTACCCTCTTGTGTTTCATTCTTGGTTTACATACTTTATATAACTGCTTTAATGTTTTTTCAAACTTAAATTGTTTGCTCGTGCTGTTGTCAGTATTACCTTATAAGTATATTTAGAGATATTATTATTCTACTTAATGATGTAATATAAAACTGAACTAAAATAATTTGGGAAGTTAATATTTCCTTTAGTATAGTTATATTACGTTTAAAATAGAAATACATTATTGTGAATGTTATGACTACAAAATATTGTTACTATATCGAGTGTTTCTTGACCTTAAGTTATAATTTTAAAACTGAAATACATAACGACCATGTTACAAAACATCTTATGCAGTTTTCAGATAATATGACTGCACATTAAATAAACCAGTAAGAAGTAAATTTCTACGTACGTCAGTCAACTGAGTAAATAGGACATCCAAATAACTAGATTTAACCGAAAATCTACAGTCTCTCTTATTCACTAAGTAAAGGAATGAAGACATTACCTCTAATGATTTATTTACATATTTAAAGAACCCGAACGAAATCCAAAAGTTTTAAATAGAACTGATAACGGAGAATACGTCAACAACTGCAATCGGGGATATATGTAAAGGAAAACTGTGCAAAATATTAACAATGATTCTACGAGGAGGGCTTATTGCAAAGAGTCGAATGAAAAGTGTGCTTAAAGACAATGGCCAAAACCATGGAAAGGGCAAGGAACGGGAGGAAGGTCAGAATGAGGCTTCCACAAGGCATGTGCCGTCCATTCCTCCTGCGTTGGACTCGACTGGTTCACTGGAAGCTGCAGTCATATAGCGATTCCCCTCATGCTGAAACCAGCACCAACGGGCTGAGTATAGTAAACTGTATGTACTTAGGTGAGTACGGTAACCGTCACAACTGTAATACTTAGATACTAGCACAGTGACTTGTTAACAATTCATTACAAATCCATTCCCATTAAAAAAAAAAAAAACAAGCAGTTACATTGTTCGAGATCTGGAGTCCAAGCCTGCCTTAAGATATGTTGGTATTTAGAATATAAAAGGATTGGTATATAAACCCAGCGATAGCTGGAAAATCACACACTTGATTTCCAGTTGCCATTGCTTCCGCCGTTGGACTAATACTCTGTCTTATCTTGTGCAATAAAACACTTAATATTATTTTAAAAGTTGTTGCTTTATTTTTTGTTATTATTAATATTTTCCTTTTTTTTAATTTATCTACATTTTACTAACTGCTGGTTTTCCAGCTACAACTGGGATTGTGTGGTAATTTAATTATATCTAAGACAGTCTCATTTGAGAATGGGATCAGATTCCAGATAGCAAAACATTGGGAACACTTTTTTTACTATAATGGAAATTATTAATACAAATTTCCAAAAACGAATATGTTTTCATAACAATATTTTGAGCTTGCTGCAGGAAACGTGGATTTCCAAATTTTGTTTGGATTCTGATTTCAAAGATATTTGGCAAAATTTAACATTATGCAATATACTCTTTATAGCAATACACTATAACCTCATATTCAACACATGGTAGTGACTTTGTATCCTGGATAAAACTCCAAAGTAATTTTTTGTGTTATTTTGAATCAACAATAGCCAAGGAGAAAGGTCAAACACACAACTTAAATGGGAAATAAACAAGAAACAATTGGAAAAACTAGTGGGTTCATGATTCATTTCGATTTAACATAACTAGGCATAGTTTATATTCTTTAACATGTTCGCCGCCGAGCGACGCGAATTTGAATCGGTCTGGTCACTCCCCCAGACCAAAAGAAATCATCAGCCGTTGCTTACAGACCAAGTGATATAGGAATCAAATTTCTGACAGACCAAAAGAGAAATTTTGTATAAATCGATTAATTCACTTCTATTAACCTAAAATGAATTAGGAAGAAAAAAATATTGCTTTTATTTATCGTTTTGAGCAATTTTTAAAACGCCACATATATGTGGGGACTAAATGTGATGGTCAGTCTATTAAATGAAAACCAATAAAAAAGATTGAATTTCTATTTCAATAGACCAAGTGACTCACATATGGCTCTTTGAGATTTGCTTGTTTAGAACTGTTTGAAGGTAAAGTTCGAAAAACTAAATACTAGCTGTTTTGATATATACTACAAAGGTTAGCACATTTACATCTGTTCAGTGATGCTGCGGAAAAGACAATGTAAACAACAATGTGGCCAAATATTGTGTGTGACAAACCAATTGTCATACAAAGCAACACTGACCAAGCAACGCAAAAGTGGGGCAGATATCCTTCTGGACCAATACAAAGCAATAAGGACTTTAAAATAGACCGTTGCTAAGGAATACGCTGTTTAGTAACAATGGAACACCGACACAAGTGTGTGTCGTTAGTCTATTTCAATGTGACCAGCTCAGCTGACGCAAAAATGCGTTGGTGGTCTATGTGAATGAAAATTCCATATCATTGTGGTAGCGAACGTGTTAAAGCAGACATTGCATATAAAATAGTTTACTTTTCACTGATAAATTCTCATTACTAATGCGTTGGATAACCTATTCAAACTAGAATTACTGAATTTACTGCACAATCAATCAAGCATAAGAATTACCATAAGTTTCTAATTTATATATTTATCCATAAATTGATGATTGTCAGTAAATTCAGGTCTCCATCGAGACCAGTGCAGTGTTCTCTACTTCAACCACTACTATTATAGCTGATCCCCAACCGTAAGATGATTAGTCGATCATTATGAGAGGCGGAAAACGATGTGAGTGTTCTATGATTAGGTATCTATTAGAAGGGGGTCAACATTAAAATCCATAGCCTGTTGACGGATGTGTATTCAGAAAAATATACAAACATCTTTATTAGTGATTTCTTTAAAAAATACATTAGTATTAAAAGTGTCAAAAATACCCAACAAATATGCATTAGTGACTTAAAGAGTTTGCAGAAGGCTGTACAATTGGCACAATGAAGCTGGTGGCAGGTATTCATTGAGTTTCTATCGAGACAGAGATTAAAATTCTGAAAATTTTGCTTGCTTATTGTTAAGTTTGAGGCCTCCAGGGTTTACCATTGTCAGTAGTCTTAGAAACGTCCCCTTACAGTTCAAAGAGTTCTCGTCTAGTCACACTGCGATCTACATAGAATTAGTGAGTCGGTGGATCAGTCGGTAGCGTCACGGACTTCGGGCCCAAAGCAGCGATGTAGTGGGTTCAGATCCTGGTCACTGCTGCAAAAATGTTATCAGTACAGTTCACTGTACTGGCTCACCCCTCGCTTTGCTGGATACGTTACACGCACAGGCAGTTAGTCTATGTGGACGGGCAAATGCAAGGTTAAAAGAGCCCGCCAACCTCTTAAAAAAAAATCTCCTGGTTACTGCCTCAATGTAGATTGATCAATGAATGCAGCCTGTCTGTTTTGTGCAAAACGTCATGAATATGGGGCACATAATTATTTAAATCTAAACTGCATCCATCCTCACCCACATTTTCATATATCTATAAACTTTATATTAAATACGCCTATCAACTGGCAATGGACTTCAGTTGCGATTGATACCTTAACACAGAATTAAAATCATAGAACGAGATTCGTACTGGTCGGGAGTGTTGGTTGGTTTGCCCTTATATTTTGCATGGCTAATAAAACTAGACTAATTGTTGCATAG